TCACTGCTCTAGAGGAGATCTGCATGAAGGAATGGGCCAAAATACCAGCAACAGTGTGTGAAAACCTTGTGAAGACTTACAGAAAACGTTTGACCTGTGTCATTGCCAACAAAGGATATATAACAAAGTATTGAGAAACTTTTGTTATTGACCAAATACTTATCTTCCACAATAATTTGTCTGTCTTAGTTGACGTGTACCTATGATGAAAATTACAGGCCTCTCTCATCTTTTTAAGTGGGAGAACTTGCACAATTGGTGGCTGACTAAATACTTTTTTCCCCCACTGTATCTGTGCGTTTACATGTCTCAATGCACTGAATTGCACAAGCTTGTGAGAGAGGTAGCTTTTTGAGGAGCACTCTTACTATAAGGAAGGTTATTTTGTTATGGTCCACAATAAAGCTACTTCTCCACATAACATTGCTGTAATGTCAAGGTTGCCGTAACATTACAGCGCTGTAATATTTCGGCAACATATAGGCAACACTTGCTTGCAGGAACACAAGTCTACCTTCAAAACCCTACACTGCTCTTTGTAGGTAGGCTATCTATGCCAGACTTGAAATAATTACACACATTACAGCATTGTGGCAATAATGTTTCCATAAAGTCAACATTAGGCCCTTTATCTTGTCTGTCTAGGCAGGAGACGCCAGACTTAAAGTTATCAGATCTAATGCAAAGCCAAGGTGGATGTAAGACCTTACCTACAGTATCGCATTCAAGGTTTAAAGGGCAATTCTTATATATTATTTATGAGTTTGAATATAATATATTTTAATGACGATTAGCAGATATGATATCACATTAATTCCATCCTAAATCATTTATTGTAATTTTTTTTGCAATATTATTATTGTATATAGAGAGAGACCTCACTATCGAAATGTTGAGATTAATTACATTAATTAAACTGAATTGAATTAACAAAATGTAGTGCTTAGTGTTTTGTACACTTATGTATATTTTGTACATCTATTTTCAGTCTTGTGTGTATTTACTGTACAGGTATGTGTTGAGATAGCGTAGGCTCTGCCCTAATTTATGTGCTCTCTGACATTTGGAGTTGGAAGACAGAGGACAATGCTAAAGGAATAGTAAGCCTTTCCCCACTCTGAGGGGCCAAAATGTTTCTCTCTGTTACAGTATTCAGAGGACTGACTATTGAATGTGATAGAATAATGCTATAGTATCCATGTCTGGTATCTATCTGAAACTTGTTCACTGAGGATAACTCTGATGCTAACTATATGTACAGTGGCTTGCGAAAGTATTCACCCCCCTTGGCATTTTTCCTATTTTGTTGCCTTACAACCTGGAATTAAAATAGATTTTTGGGGGGTTTGTATAATTTGATTTACACAACATGCCTACCACATCGAAAATGCAAAATATTTTTTATTGTGAAACAAACAAGAAATAACACAAAAAAACAGAAAACTTGGCATGCATAACTATTCACCCCCCCCCAAAGTCAATACTTTGTAGAGCCACCTTTTGCAGCAATTACAGCTGCAAGTCTCTTGGGGTATGTCTCTATAAGCTTGGCACATCTAGCCACTGGGATTGCCCATTCTTCAAGGCAAAACTGCTCCAGCTCCTTCAAGTTGGATGGGTTCTGCTGGGGTACAGCAATCTTTAAGTCATACCACAGATTCTCAATTGAATTGAGGTCTGGGCTTTGACTAGGCCATTCCAAGACATTTAAATGTTTCCCCTTAAACCACTCGAGTGTTGCTTTAGCAGTATGCTTAGGGTCATTGTCCTGCTGGAAGGTGAACCTCCGTCCCAGTCTCAAATCTCTGGAAGACTGAAACAGGTTTCCCTCAAGAATTTCCCTGTATTTAGCGCCATCCATCATTCAATTCTGACAAGTTTCCCAGTCCCTGCCGATGAAAACCATCCCCACACCATGATGCTGCCACCACCATGCTTCACTGTGGGGATGGTGTTCTCGGGATGATGTAAGGTGTTGTGTTTGCACCAGACCTAGCATTTTCCTTGATGGCCAAAAAGCTCAATTTTAGTCTCATCTGACCAGAGTACCTTCTTCCATATGTTTGGGGAGTCCCCCACATGCCTTTTGGCGAACACCAAAAGTGTTTAGGTTTTTTTTCTTTAAGCAATGGCTTTTTTTCTGGCCACTCTTCCGTAAAGCCCAGCTCTGTGGAGTGTACTGCTTAAAGTACAAAGGGGGTGAATACATATGCACGCACCACTTTTCCGTTATTTATTTATTCAAATTTTTTGAAACAAGTTATTTTTTTCATTTCATTTCTTCACCAATTTGGACTATTTTGTGTATGTCTATTACATGAAATCCAAACAAAAATCCATTTAAATTACAGGTTGTATTGCAACAAAATAGGAAAAACGCCAAGGGGGATGAATACTTTTGCAAGGCACTGTATGTATGATCTCTGTGGTTACTTGTTTCTGTATAGGGTGAACTCTGAATTACTATATGCAAAAAGATTTGATAGTCCTCTCAGGAATTCTGTCTTATTTACACTGGTCTCATCCCCCACACAAGCGTTTAAATGCTGTGACATCCTGTGGAGACTGGGCCTAGGCGGTCAGGTTACACTGTAAACTTAGTATCGTTTGATTGGTCAAAGGTGGTTGGTCTTGGGTTGAAAGGTTACACCTTCAGATGTTATAAATGGAATTCAATGCCTTTGTTCTCTCTCTTATCCTGTTTCCAGCCATAGAGGAAGGTTGTATGATCAATTCTCATTTCCTAGGCTTTTAAGCCTCTGGCCTAGTAAGCATCTCTTTGTTCATGCTTTGTCCTGTAAATTACCCTTAGGATCTATATGCATGGAATAATGGCTTGTAATGCTTGTTAATGCTTTGTAATTTAAGCTTTATGTCTTGTATGTGAATCCATTCATTGTACAATGTTAATTAAATATCTGCCTTTGATATAGACAATTCTCAGACCAATTCTTGCTAGTCAACGTCAACTCATTGCCTAATGTTTGCTTGTATATTTTAATTATCTTTAAGGAGTCAGATAATCATTTTAATAGGCTAATTGCTTAGTCTTATTACGAGTCACATGTGAGGTATTTATAATATCATATATAGCCTACTTTATATACACATGTAGAATATTACTGTCCACTACAATAGCATAGTGCTTCTTCTTTGAATAACTTTGAATAAGCCAAGATGCATTGTCCGGCTGACTCACTCTGAGTCAGATTATATTTATTCAACTGTTTGCAAATGGGTTTGGAGAACAGGTTTGCAGGTATAGTGTGCCAAGCTGTGCTGTATTCCATCTGTGTGTGTGTGTGTGTGTGTGTTTCTGTCTGTTTTCTGCTGTGTCAGTGCTGTGAGGAGCAGCTGGCCATTACATGGTTATGTCACACATACAAGCACACACGCAGAGAGACACACTCATCGAGTTCTTCACCCCCACACAGACTCTTTCCTTTCCTCTCTTTCTCTCTCCCTCTCTCTGTCTGCCCTCTTTAACTCCCTGCCAGCATTCAACAGATCACTGAAATATGAGATGGACAGACAAAGGAGAGGAGGAGGATAAATAGAGAAAGGTGCAACTGAGGAGAGAGTGAATAAAAATGAATGAGAGAGGGAAAAAGAGAAAGGTGTCCTATTGCCCATCCATCCCATCTATCTTTTCATTTTGGCAGCAGTCCAAACTCTCTGTGTGCACTCCACCTCCCCCCAGCATTGTCATCTTCCCTTATTTAGCCAGTGAGCCACCGTAACAGAGTGAGAATGATAGTTTGGCGGGAGAGAGAGAGAGGAAGAGAGAAAAAAGGGGGTCTGAAAGCAGGAGAGAGAGAAATAGAAAGGGAGGAGAGAGAGAGTGATTCTCCAATTGACCACCAGATGGCGACACAACCTGAATAGTCTGTGAGACGTGTCCCCATGATTACAGATTTTGTCTTGATGGTGACCACAGGTTACTTGTGTCAAGGCCATTATGTAACACTCCATTGTACTGTATATGATTGTTCTGATAAACAGGTTTTTATTTTCTTTATACATCCCATTAAAGTTATGTAGGAAGGAATAGACTGATTGCAAATATAACAGTTATGCTTCACTTGTAAGATAACAGGCTACAGTTTACATGAGTAAGACATTAGAAAATTAGCTTTTCCAAAGCCAGCCATAACAAAATAAAGGGATTTCAATTCAAATCATTGTCATAGAGTGTCCCGTGAGTTTTCGATATCATGAAAATTGAGAATGTGATATCATGCCATGCCAAATCACAAACAACCACCAGGTGCAGCCATTGACTTGTATTTGGCAGAAAAGGTCAAATGGATGGAGGAAGTACTGTTGCTGAAACATGGGCCACGTTTTAGTCGTGGCTTTAGAAAACTACATTTGATGTGACACACAAAAGACCTGAACCTTAGTGATATACATCATTTTTAATCACAGAAATACAATAATTCATGTACAAATACAAATAAGTATATCTGAGTGTATAAAAAATATCAAATGATACAACAATATAAAAACAATTTCAATATTGTACGTAATGGTTAGCCCTGTACCCCTGCCTTTTTGGCAGCCATCTTTGGTAGTTTTTCACAAAAGCATTTTGTAAAGACTCCTCATTTTGATTCACTTGTTTAGAATTAGTTTAAATGTCATATTTAGCATATTTGGACTGCTGTTGTGCAGTTGTTGGTTAGTCAGAGGAATGACAGGTTTCCTGCTCAGTGATTGGTGGACTGGGCTGTGAGATCAGCATTGTTGCCGTGCGAGAGTGGCCAGTGCTTTGGTGTGGACTGCCTTGTACAGGAGAGCAAGCTAGAGGGGTTGAGAAGGCCATGCCCCTCCGTGTCCACCTTGCCCATCAACACAGAGTTCGCTCCTGAAATAATGAATTAATACATTAATGGATGAATGAATTAACCTATTTATCAGTCAATTAGTCCATCCACCACATAGGCCAGACAGTTATGTAAGTAGTTTGTACAATGGATTAAAATAAGCTAATGCTCTTCTCAGTTGTGTGAATTGGTGTGTGTGCTTGTGCATGCTCCTTTGTAGGTATGTGTGTTTATGTGGCCAGAGTGTATGTGAGACTGTACTTTGCGTGGGCCAGGGCACTTCTTGCAGGTGGAGGCGAGTTTGATGGACATGGCTAGTCCTGATTGGGTGATGGACAGGCGGCCACTCCTATAGGCCTTGATGAGAGACACGTCCACAGTCACACTGCCCCTGGGGCCTGGGACCAAGGATGTCACCTTCCCCGTGATCACTGGTAAGGGGGAGAGAGGTAAGGTGGGGGGAATAGATGGATGTAGGTTGGGGATGAGGGAAAAAGGCGACAGAGAGGAGTGGAAGAGATTAATACAGGGTTTGTATCATGATTCTATTTCTATGGTTTGTACATTCTGACTCACTGATCCCACTCCCTTCTCTGGGATTAAGTGATGTGGGGGATGTCAGTTTGTGTAGGCAGAGATAAGATATAATTGTCAAATAAAGGCTTATGACAAACATTTTCCCATGGCTGTTCTAGTGTGTGTCTCAATATTGAGTGACAGTCTGAGAATGGCGTAAATACACTGAGTATACAGAACACCTGCTCTTTCCATGACATAGACTGACCAGGTGAATCCAGGTGAACGCTATGATCCCTTATTGATGTCACCTTAAATCCACTTCAATCAGTGTAGATGAAGGGAAGGAGACAGGTTAAAGAAGGATTTTTAAGCCTTGAGACAATTGAGACATGGATTGTTTATACGTGCCATTCAGTGGGTGAATGGGTATGACAAAATATTTAAGTTCCTTTGAAATGGTTATGGTAGTAGGTGCCAGGTGCACCGGTTTGAGTGTGTCAAAAACTGCAACGCTGCTGGGTTTTTCACGCTCAACAGTTTCCCGTATGTATCAAGAATGGTACACCACCCAAAGGACACCCAGACAACTTGACACAACTGTGGGAAGCATTGGAGTCAGGGCCAGCATCCCTGTGGAACGCTTTCAACACTTTGTCAAGTCCATGCCCAGACGAATTGAGGCTGTTCTGAGGGCAAAAGGGGGTGCAACTCAATATTAGGAAGGTGTTCCTAATGTTTTGTACACTTAGTGTAGTTATTTATATATATACTGGAACTGGATATATATACAGTTCCAGTCAAAAGTTTAGACACACCTACTAATTAAAAGGTTTTTCTTTATTTTTACTATTTTCTACATTGTAGAATAATAGTGAAGACATCAAAACTATGAAATAACACATATGGAATCATGTAGTCATTCTTCAAAGTAGCCACCCTTTGCCTTGAAGACAGCTTTGCACACTCTTGGCATTTTCTCAACCAGCTTCATGAGGAATGCTTTTCCAACAGTCTTGAAGGAGTTCCCACATATGCTGAGCACTTGTTGACTGCTTTTCCTTCGCTCTGCTGTCCAACTCATCCCCAACCATCTCAATTGGTTTGAGGTCGGATGATTGTGGAGTACAGGTAATCTGATGCAGCACCATCACTCTCATTCTTGGTAAAATAGCCCTTACACAACCTGGAGGTGTGTATTTGGTCATTGTCCTGTTGAAAAACAAATGATAGTCCCACTAAGCGCAAACCAGATGGGAGGCGTATCACTGTAGAATGCTGTGGTAGCCATGCTGGTTAAGTGTGCCTTGAATTCTAAATAAATCACTGACAGTGTCACCAGAAAAGCACCCCCAAACCATCACAACTCCTTCTCCATGCTTCACGGTGGGAACCACACATGCAGAGATCATCCATTCACCTACTCTGCATCTCACAAAGACACGGCGGTTGGAACCAAAAATCTCAAATTTGGACTCATCAGACCAAATGACAGATTTCCACTGGTCTAATGTCCATTGCTCGTGTTTCTTGGCCCAAGCAAGTCTCTTCTTCTAATTGGTGTCCTTTAGTAGTGGTTTCTTTGCAGCAATTTGACCATGAAGACATGCTCCTCTGAAGCAATTATTTGGGCTGCAATCTGAGGTGCAGTTAACTCTAATGAACTTATCCTCTGCAGCAGAGGTAACTCTGGGTCTTCCTTTCCTGTGGCGGTCCTCATGAGAGCCAGTTTCATCATAGCGCTTGATGGTTTTTGCGACTGCACTTGAAGAAACGATGAAAGTTCTTGAAATGTTCCGGAATGACTGACCTTCGTGTCTTAAAGTAATGATGGATTGTCGTTTCTCTTTGCTTATTTGAGCTGTTCTTGCCATAATATGGACTTGGACTTTTACCAAATAGGGCTATCTTCTGTATACCACCCCTCCTTGTCACAACACAACTGATTGGCTCAACCGCATTAAGAAGAAAATAAATTCCACAAATGAACTTTTAACAAGGCACACCTGTTAATTGAAATGCACTCCTCTTGAAGCTGGTTGAGAGAATGCCAAGAGTGTGCAAAGTTGTCATCAAGGCAAAGGGTGGCTACTTTGAATAATCTAAATCTAAAATATATTTTGACTTGTTTAACACTTTTTTGGTAACTACATGATTCCATATGTGTTATTTCATAGTTTTGATGTCTTCACTATTATTCTACAATGTAGAAAATAGTAAAACTAAAGAAAAACCCTTGAATGAGTAGGTGTGTCCAAACTTTTGACTGGTACTGTTTATGTACAGTGGGGAGAAAAAGTATTGATACACTGCTGATTTTGCAGGTTTTCCTACTTACAAAGCATGTAGAGGTCTGTAATTTTTATCATAGGTACACTGCAACTGTGAGAGACGGAATCTAAAACAAAAATTCAGAAAATCACATTGTATGATTTTTAAGTAATTAATTTGCATTTTATTGCATGACATAAGCATTTGATACATCAGAAAAGCAGAACTTAATATTTGGTACAGAAACCTTTGTTTGCAATTACAGAGATCATACGTTTCCTGTAGGTCTTGACCAGGTTTGCACACACTGCAGCAGGGATTTTGGCCCACTCCTCCAAACAGACCTTCTCCAGATCCTTCAGGTTTCGAGGCTGTCGCTGGGCAATACGGACTTTCAGCTCCCTCCAAAGATGTTCTATTGGGTTCAGGTCTGGAGACTGGCTAGGCCACTCCAGGACCTTGAGATGCGTCTGACGGAGCCACTCCTTAGTTGCCCTGGCTGTGTGTTTCGGGTCGTTGTCATGCTGGAAGACCCAGCCACGACCCATCTTCGATGCTCTCACTGAGGGAAGGAGGTTGTTGGCCAAGATCTCGCGATACATGGCCCCATCCATCCTCCCCTCAATACGGTGCAGTCGTCCTGTCCCCTTTGCAGAAAAGTATCCCCAAAGAATTATGTTTCCACCTCCATGCTTCACAGTTGGGATAGTGTTCTTGGGGTTGTACTCATCCTTCTTCTTCCTCCAAACATGGCGAGTGGACTTTAGACCAAAAAGCTCTATTTTTGTCTCATCAGACCACATGACCTTCTCCCATTCCTCCTCTGGATCATCCAGATCGTCATTGGCAAACTTCAGATGGGCCTGGACATGCGCTGGCATGAGCAGGGGGACCTTGCGTGCGCTGCAGGATTTTAATCCATGACGGCGTAGTGTGTTACTAATGGTTTTCTTTGAGACTGTGGCCCCAGCTCTCTTCAGGTCATTGACCAGGTCCTGCCGTGTAGTTCTGTGCTGATCCCTCACCTTCCTCATGATCATTGATGCCCCACGAGGTGAGATCTTGCATGGAGCCCCAGACCGAGGGTGATTGACCGTCATCTTGAACTTCTTCCATTTTCTAATAATTGCGCCAACAGTGGTTGCCTTCTCACCAAGCCGCTTGCCTATTGTCCTGTAGCCCATCCCAGCCTTGTGCAGGTCTACAATTTTATCCCTGATGTCCTTACACAGCTCTCTGGTCTTGGCCATTGTGGAGAGGTTGGAGTCTGTTTGATTGAGTGTGTGGACAGGTGTCTTTTATACAGGTAACGAGTTCAAATAGGTGCAGTTAATACAGGTAATGAGTGGAGAACAAGAGGGCTTCTTAAAGAAAAACTAACAGGTCTGTGAGAGACGGAATTCTTACTGGTTGGTAGGTGATCAAATACTTATGTCATGCAATAAAATGCAAATTAATTACTTAAAAATCATACAATGTTATTTTCTCGATTTTTGTTTTAGATTCCATCTCTAACAGTTGAAGTGTACCTAAGATAAAAATTACAGACCTCTACATGCTTTGTAAGTAGGAAAACCTGTAAAATCGGCAGTGTATCAAATACTTGTTCTCCCCACTGCATATGTATGAGAGAGAGAGATATGGTTATTTTCCTACAGAACATTGTTTTTAGTCATATATAATAATTTTTCTTAGTGCTGTGGCTCATTCCTAACTGTCTCCCATTAAAATGTTCCCATGAAGGTTACACACCACTACTAACATTAGGACAACTACTGTATCCATGACAACCAAGACCGCTACTTAAAACCATGCCAACGAACATGTGAGACAGAGGGAGGGAGAGAAATAAAGAAGTAGTGGGAGTGAAATCTGTGGGGAAGACGGAGAGGGAAATAAAAGATAAGGAGCAAGAATATGAGAGTGTGACTCACCGAAATCATTAGGGCAGAAGTTGGATTGGAATGTTCCTGTCCTCTTACAAGCCTGGTTACACAGTGGGTTCATCGGTAGGGCTGCAAAATACACACACACGTGCGCGCACATACACACACACATACAGTGTCTTGCAAAAGTATTCATCCCCCTTGGCGTTTTTCCTATTTTGTTGCATTTCAACCTGTAATTTAAATAGATTTTTATTTGGATTTCATATAATGGACATACACAAAATCATCCAAATTGGTGAAGTGAAATGAAAAAAATAACTTGTTTCAAAAAATTCACTCCACAGAGCTGGGCTTTACGGAAGAGTGGCCAGAAAAAAGCCATTGCTTAAAGAAAGAAATAAGCAAACACGTTTGGTGTTCGCCAAAAGGCATGTGGGAGACTCCCCAAACATATGGTAGAAGGTACTCTGGTCAGATGAGACTCAAATTTAGGTTTTTGGCCATTAAAGAAAACTCTATGTCTGGCGCAAACACAACATCTCTCATCACCCCGAGAACACCATCCCCACAGTGAAGCATGGTGGTGGCAGCATCATGCTGTGGGGATGGTTTTCATCGGCAGGGACTGGGAAACTGGTCAGAATTGAAGGAATGATGGATGGCGCTAAATACAGGGAATTTCTTGAGGGAAACCTGTTTCAGTCTTTCAGAGATTTGAGACTGGGACGGAGGTTCACCTTCCAGCAGGACAATGACCCTAAGCATACTGCTAAAGCAACACTCGGGTGGTTTAAGGGGAAACATTTAAATGTCTTGGAATGGCCTAGTCAAAGCCCAGACCTCAATCCAATTGAGAATCTGTGGTATGACTTAAAGATTGCTGTACCCCAGCGGAACCCATCCAACTTGAAGGAGCTGGAGCAGTTATGCACGCTCAACTTTTCAGTTTTTTTGTCTTATTTCTTGTTTGTTTCACAAGAAAAAATATTTTGCATCTTCAAAGTGGTAGGCATGTTGTTTAAATCAAATGATACAAACCCCCTTAAAATTCATTTTAATTCCAGGTTGTTAGGCAACAAAATAGGAGAAATGCCACGGGGGGTGAATACTTTCACAAATACCTATTTCTTTGTTAACTGCTCAACACAGAATAACCGCATGTACGCACTCCCTCAAATCATTTGGAGAAAATATCCTTTCTATTTTATTCAGCTTTGTTTAATTGTATTTTTCTTAATATAAAATAATGCCATAGAATTCTAAGCAAATCTTGTCTGCTAAATGAACTAGTGTAGCCCACAGCCATTTGTCATAGCCAGATCAGGACTTAAAATAAGGAAAACTCAGAGTATGCTATTATGTTCTTCTGAAATAGACTACATTTTCTTCATATCATGCTTTTTTAGACCTGTGTTATGATGTTTTTTCATGGTGTTGTGGGAACAAGGTTAAATCTAGTAGATAGGTGACTCTTGGTGCCACACAGTCTGGAGGCCAATGATTCCAGTATGTCGAGGGAGCTTGAGTTTTATCTTAGAATGATTGATGGACATGATATACTGACTTGGAGTACAAGGTAATAACATCAAAGAAGGGAGTGCCCATTGATGGTTAACAGATGTTGTTGAAGAAACGTGTAACATGACGTATATCAACTGAGAGGTTTTCTTTGTCTGGTAGTTCGGATGACAAGAGGCAAAGCATGCGCCTTTTGTTAGATTAACCCGGTACCGAATCTATTAAATATTTGTATGAACTCTCCATCTAAGTGTTAAATATCTTCTTGCATCATGAATTTCTTGATACCCGAGAAACTCATCATAACAACCTGTCTAAAATAAATCATGAATTTATTGTGAAGGTGTAGGCTATATTACATGGATTTATTAGACTTTTTTAAATGTAGATGTTCCAAAGGTCTGCATCAGTGGCTTGTAGGCTATGTGTGGAAGCCAGGAGATGCTAAATGTGTTTATGTTAATTAACGTCAATTACCATGAGACCGACAATTATTTGCTTGACAATCACCGGCTGACGAAATTTCGTGACCGCCACAGCACTATTAGTGTATATTCTGTACTGTTGGTTACTCACAGTGATGTACCAGGTGCATTTGCGGTTGGGTTTGTAGTGGCTGGGGGAACCCTCACTGCCCACGAAGCCTGAGTCAGTCACCAAGTGACCTCCGCAATGGAAGATGGGTCTGAGAGAGTTAGAGAGTGCGCAGGAGAGAGAGATTGCCTCTTTTTGCAATCATTGAATCCATGGCTTATTTTATAAGGTTAGAAAACTTTCAGAAGTCTTAGGAATTTTGCTACCACTACTAGTGGGGGCAGAACCCCTCTCTACACACATACCAAAACCACAGGCGCACAGTCTGGCTCTGTTCTTCGATCCTGGGAAGGGCCAGTGAACTCTCATAGGTTGTGTTTTTATAATGGTAGGCCCAATCCGGGGCAGTAGCACTGATAATATGTACGTTGTGGCATATTCAAGCATACACACACGCACACACTTGTGTTCAAGTGGTGCCACACCAGAACATTTTCACCAGGCACACACTTTACTTTACTTTGGCATGGGGGCACAGGCAGACACTGGCACTTTGAAAACCTGAAAACAGTGAGTACTACACTGCTCGCACACACACACACACACACACACACACACACACTGATCAAAGTGGTGTCACGCTTTCTACAACTTTACAGCAGCCCTCATGCTTATAATTCAGCTTCTGGCTGTATAAAAATCATTGAATAAACATTTAATGGTTACGAAATGCAGGAACATAAAGTTGGAAAAGGCGTCAGTGGGTTTGGACATTCTGTACTGTATATACACAAAACACAATATTCCAGTCAACACTTTTTATCACAACACCCATAGCTCAACTCATAGTTCACCAGTGTCCTGTGGTAGAATGTTTGATTTGTAGATGTTTAGTAGATGTTCAATAATTGTCAACAACATTTAAACTATCTACTAACCCTCACCTTAACCCTTATCCTAACCCTAAACTAAACCCTTACCCTAACGCTTATTCTAAATCAGGGATGGGCAAAAAATGTTAGATTGGTAAATTAGTCTGGCTGTCTAAACTTGCAGTAAGCATGGTCGAATTAAAGACCGAGGTGGGGCCCATTGATCATCAGTTATCATATTTGGTGTATGGATGTGGGTACGCAGACCCACGAGCCACTCCGTCCCCTTATGATAAGTTCTGTTTTTTGTGGCCCCCACCCCCATCAAAGTTGCTGTTCTAAACCTAACCATAACCTTAGCATAACCATTAAACAGGTTGAGAGCTTCAAGTTCCTTGGTGTCCACATCACCAACAAACTACCATGCTCCAAACACACCAAGACAGTCGTGAAGAGGGCACGACAAAGCCTATTCCCCCTCAGGAGACTAAAAAGATTTGGCATGGGTCCTCAGATCCTCAAAAAATTATACAGCTGCACCATCGAGAGCATCCTGACTGGTTGCATCACCGCCTGGTATGGCAACTGCTCGGCCTCCGACCGCAAGGCACTACAGAGGGTAGTGCATATGGCCCAGTACATCACTGGGGCCAAGCTTCCTGCCATCCAGGACCTCTATACCAGGCGGTGTCAGAGGAAGGCCCTCAAAATTGTCAAAGACTCCAGCCACCCTAGTCATAGACTGTTCTCTCTGCTACCGCACGGCAAGCGGTACCGGAGTGCCAAGTCTAGGTCCAAAAGACTTCTCAACAGCTTCTACCCCCGAGCCATAAGACTCCTGAACAGCTAATCATGGCTACCCCCCCGTTCTGGATAAGATGCATGGGTTTGATGGCACAAGCGGGGAGCCCTGCCAACAGTCCAGACGGGAGAGGACAAGTACCTGGATTAGGGCCTGCGCCACTTCCTGTGTGAGGTAGGGTTGTACAGTCGTGGTCAAAAGTTTTGAGAATTTACATTTACATTTAGTCATTTAGCAGACGTTTTATCCAGATCGACTTACAGTTAGTGAGTGCATACATTTTTTATTAATTTTTTCATACTGGTCCCCCGTGAGAATCAAACCCACAACCCTGGCATTGCAAGCGCCATGCTCTATCAACTGAGCTACACGGGACCGAAGTATTGGTCTTCACAAAGTTCGCTGCTTCAGTGTTATGAGATCTTTTTGTCAGATGTTACTATGGTATACTGAAGTATAATTACAAGCATTCCATAGGTGTCAAAGGCTTTTATTGACAATTACATTAAGTTTATGCAAAGAGTCAATATTTGTAGTGTTGACCCTTCTTTTCCAAGACCTTGCAATCCGCCCTGGCATGCTGTCAATCAACTTCTGGGCCACATCCTGAATGATGACAGCCCATTCTTGCATAATCAATGCTTGGAGTTTGTCAGAATTTGTGGGTTTTTGTTTGTCCACCCGCCTCTTGAGGCTCGACCACACGTTCTCAATGGGATTAAGGTCTGGGGAGTTTCCTGGCCATGTTTTGTTCCCCGAGTCACTTAGTTATCACCTTTGCCTTATGGCAAGGTGCTCCATCATGCTGCAAAAGGCATTGGTCGTCACCAAACTGTTCTTGGATGGTTGGGAGAAGTTGCTCTCGGAGGATGTGTTGGTACCCTTCTTTATTCATGGCTGTGTTCTTAGGCAAAATTGTGAGTGAGCCCACTCCCTTGGCTGAGAAGCAACAACACACATGAATGGTCTCAGGATGCTTTACTGTTGGCATGACATAGGACTGATGGTAGCGCTCACCTTGTCTTCTCCGGACAAGGTGTTTTCCGGATGCCCCAAACAATCGGAAAGGGGATTCATCAGAGAAAATGACTTTACCCCAGTCCTCAGCAGTCCAATCCCTGTACCTTTTGCAGAATAACATCTGTCCCTGATGTTTTTCCTGGAGAGAAATGGCTTCTTTGCTGCCCTTCTTGACACCAGGCCATCCTCCAAAAGTCTTTGCCTCACTGTGCATGCAGATGCACTCGCACCTGCCTGCTGCAATTCCTGAGCAAGCTCTGCACTGGTGGTGCCCGATCCCGCTGGTGAATCAACTTTAGGAGACGTTCCTGGCACTTGCTGGACTTTCTTGGGCGCTCTGACGCCTTCTTCACAACAGTTGAACCGCTCTCTTTGAAGTTCTTGATGAACCGATAAATGGTTGATTTAGGTGCAATCTTACTAGCAGCAATATCCTTGCATGTGAAGCCCTTTTTGTGCAAAGCAATGATGATGGCACGTGTTTCCTTGCAGGTAACCATGGTTAACAGAGGAAGAACAATGATTTCAAGCACCACCCTCCTTTTAAAGCTTCCAGTCTGTTATTCTAACTCAATCAGCATGACAGAGTGATCTCCAGCCTTGTCCTCGTCAACACTCTCACCTGTGTTAACGAGAGAATCACAGACATGATGGCAGCTGGTCCTTTTGTGGCAGGGCTGAAATGCAGTGGAAATGTTTTTTGGGGATTAAGTTCATTTTCATGGCAAAGAGGGACTTTGAAATTAATTGCAATTCATCTGATCACTCTTCATGACATTCTGGAGTATATACAAATTGCCATCATCAAAACTGAGGCAGCAGACTTTGTGAAAATTTATATTTGTGTCATTCTCAAAACTTTTGACCACGACTGTACTCTACGGATGTTGTTGAGCATGAACCTGCAGGAGCGGGTCACTGCTTTGATGTTTGCAGAGAACGACAGGGTGTTGTCCAGGGTCACGCCAAGGTTCTTTGCACTCTGGGAGGGTGACACTGTGGAGTTGTCAACCGTGGTGGAGAGGTCTTTGAGCGAGCGGGCAGGTCTTCCCGGGGAAGAAGAGCAGTTCCGTCTTGTCGAGGTTGAGCTTGAGGTGGTGGGCCAACATCCAAGTTGAGATATCTACCAGGCACGCGGATATGCGTGTCGCCACCTGGGTGTCAGAAGGGGAGAAGGTGAAAAGTAGTTGAGTGTCATCTGCATAGCAATGATAGGAGAGACCATGTGAGGATATGACGGAGCCGAGTGACTTGGTGTATAGAAAAAAGAGGAGAGGGCCTAGACACGAGCGCTGGGGGACACCAGTATTGAGAGTACGTGGTGCAGACACAGATCCTCTCCACGTCACCTGGTAGGAGCGGCCTACCAGGTAGGATGCAATCCAAGAGTGTGCATAGCCTGAGACACCCAGCCCTAAGCGGGTGGAGAGGAGGATCTGATGGTTCACGGTGTCAAAGGCAGCGGATAGGTCTAGGAGGATGAGGACAGATGAGAGAGATTTAGCTTTGGCAGTGCGGAGAGCCTCCTTGACACAGAGAAGAGCAGTCTAGGTTGAGTGACCCGTCTTGAAGCCTGACTGGTTAGGGTCAAGAAGATCGTTCTGAGAGAGATAACGAGAAAGTTGATCAGAGACAGCACACTCAAGTGTTTTGGAAAGAAAAGAAAGAAGGGATACAGGTCTATAGTTTTTGACGACAGATGAGTCAAGTGTTGGTTTCTTGAGGAGGGGAGCAACTCGGGCCATTTTGAAGTCAGAGGGGACGCAGCCAGTGGTCAGGGATGAGTTGATGAGGGAAGTGAGGAATGGGAGAAGGTCTCCAGAGATTATCTGGAGAAGGGAGGAGGGGATGGGGTCGAGCGGGCAGGTTGTCGGGTGGCCAGACCTCACTAGTCGCAGGATATCATCTGGAGAGAGAGGGGAGAAAGAGGTCAAGGAGTAGGGTAGTGCTGTGTGAGTGAGCCCAGTGGACTCAATAGGCTGAGTGATTGAGTAGCGAATGCCGTCAACCTTTCTTTCAAAGTGGTTGACAAAGTCGTCCGCAGAGAGGGAGGAGGGAGGGGGTGGAGGATTAAGGAGGGAGGAGAAGGTGGAAAATAGTTTCCTAGGGTTAGAGGCAGAAGCTTGAAATTTAGAGTGGTAGAAAGTGGCTTTAGCAGCAGATACAGAGGAATAGAAGGTAGAGAGGAGGGAGTGAAAGGATGATAGGTCCTCCGGAAGTTTAGTTTTCCTCCATTTTCGCTCAGCTGCCCGCAGCCCTGTTCTGTAAGCTCGCAATGAGTCATTCAGCCACGGAGCAGGAGGGGAAGGCCAAGCCGGCCGGGAGGAAAGGGGACAGTGCGAGTCATAGGATGCGGAAAGGGAGGAGAGGAGGGTCGAAGAAGCAGAATCAGTAGACAGAAGTGAGAAGGATTTAGTAGAAGGGAAAAAAGATAGGATAGAAGAGGAGAGAGTAGTGGGAGAGAGAGAGCGAAGATTACGATGGCGCATGACCATCTGGGTAGGGGCTGAGTGGTTAGGTTTGGAGGAAAGGGAGACAGAAAAGGAAACAAAGTAGTGATCAGAGACCTGGAGGTGGGTTGCAGTGAGATTAGTAGGCGAGTAGCCTCTAGTAAAGATGAGGTGAAGCGTATTGCCTGCCTTGTGAGTTGGAGGGGATTGGGAAAGGGTGAGGTCAAAAGAGGCAAGGAGGGGAAAGAGAGAGTTGGAAGTAAATTAATTGAAGGCAGATGTCGGGAGGTTGA